TGGAGTTTCAGCTTCAACATCAGTCCTTCCAATGAACACCCAGGACTGATCTCCTTTAGGATGGACTGGTTGGATCTCCTTGCAGTCCAAGGGACTCTCAAGAGTCTTCTCCAACACCACAGTTCAAAAGCATCAATTCGTCTGTATGGATGTGAGAGTAGGATTAAAAAGAAATGGAGATATTGCATACTAAATCTAGATTTCTACCTCTCATAAACATGGAAACATCTGGCAACCAAGAGTCCATATTCCTGCTAGAAATAATAACCATGAGTGGTGGTTGTAGGCAGCAGTTTGTGAGGTATAGGATGTGTCCTTTCCTAATTTCCTTCCTCTTTTCTGCCACATGCCAGCTTCACTCGGGATCACACACACCTGGCCTCTGTAGTCTTTGTATCACATGCCGTTCCTGAGACAGGGGAGGGTACCAGCCAAACGTATGTTCCTTTACCCAGGATAGGATTTCTGTCCACATTCTAGTTTGTGTGACCAGCTGATTTAGCAGACTGGAGAAAGGACTCCCTCTTTACTTCTCTCCCTGCCTTGGGGGACAGAGATTCCTTGGACCACCTTGCTCCTGGTGGAGTCCTCTCCATTTTGGAATAAAAAAATGCCTTCTAAGGTGAAAGCACTGCCTCCCTACCTCATCCCAACCCCACGACCTCCAATCTGAAAGGCCTCTTGAAAAGTCACGCTTTGTAAAGCATTTCTTCCCCTCTCCCTGTCCCCAAGATTTTAGTCAGCTTTCAGGCCTCCTTAAAAGTGTGACACTTCACTTCAAGTCTTACAAGTGGGTAGTAAAGACAAAGGGAGAGGATGTCCATGTATAAGCTATCTGCCCAGGCAACTCCATCTCCCGGTAAATCTGATCATATTCTTTAGCATTTCTATGCAAGGACGCCATTCTGAGTCTCCATTCTGCCTCTGTTCATTTTTTAGAGCTTAATTGTTAAGCACTTACTACCACCAGGCATTAGATGGCATCACCGACTCACTGGACGTGAGTTTGAGTAAACTCCGGGAGTTGGTGATGGACAGGGAGGCCTGGCGTGCTGCAGTCCATGGGGTCACAGAGTCAGACATGGCTGAGCGACTGAACTGACTGACTGACTGATGCACCAGGCACCTAGTATACAATGTTTTGTTTTACCTTCAGATATGTTGTGGTCTGCTGGGAGAAGCTGACACACGAACAGTTACAGATAGGCACAGATTTGTCGAGAGGGTTTAGGTTGTGAAGGGAAAGCATTCATAGGTGGTGGGGGCAATGGGCTGAGGGGCCAGAGCGGGCTTCTGAGGCCAAGTAACATCTGAGCACGGTCTGAAAGAGAAGTACAGCTTCTTTTCGAAAGGTGGGCTGAGTGAAGATATTCTGACTGGAGGAGATAGAATATATAAGGCCCAGCTGTGTAAGATGGCAAGGATTGTGTGTGTGTGTGTGTGTGTGTGTGTGTGCTGGGGGGTGGTGTGGGAAAGTAACTTTATAATTCTGCTTTGGCTGTGAGGTGTATGAGCTGGTGTGAGACAACCACTGATGACCAACAGGCAGCTTTTGTACTACGGAGGCTCCCATCTCCCCTAACTTGGACCATCCTCAGCTCGTCCTTCCCTGCCTCATAACTAGCTCTTTCTCCTCTGCAGAGGCCAGACTTCTGCCTTCCCCATACCAGACTTGCCATCCAGTACAGTCCTGTCTGTTTTCAGCCTAATTCATGCCCTTTGCAAAATTGTATTTTCAAAGTATCCGTGATTTTATAACAGAGGTTTTTTATTTGTGAACCTCAGTTAGATAATATCTAATAAATGTTCCCATGTGTAAAGAACGGCACAAAATAGTGTACAACTAGATTACACAGTTGGGTTGAGATTTTCCCTATGCTATCTTAAATTCTAACCAGCTCTGCCCTTTCAGGTCTTTTGAGTAATTCTGACTAGAGAAAAATGCACCCTTTGAAAATTGTCCAGTGGCATCTGTTTTGAAACGAGGGTAAGTCATGGCTACAGCAAGTAGCCTGGTGCACACACTTCTCATCACCCACTTTCAGGCTTGCCCTGCGTTCTCTGAGCTTTAGTCAGGCAGGCCTTCTCACTCACTTGGCTAGCATCAGTAAAAATTAGCATCACACTTACAGGCTTTGTTGTAAGAATGTCCTTGGACTCCAAGCTGGGCCTTTTTTCTTTTTTTTTTTTTGGCTTGGAGACAGACTTGACCCTTGAGCTTAAGGAAAGATTAAGCACTTCCGCCTCCCACCCCTGGCATTCCCAACCAGACAGCTTGCTCTCAGTGTCTGGCGTTCCCTCTCCTGGCTACCCCAGGAAACCATCTGCTTGGCCAAGTCTCTGTCTCTGGGACACAGTGGCTGACATGGTTCCTCATATGCTTTGTTCTACACAAGGGGAATTCTACAAGAATTCTACACAAGTGGAATTTAGGAAAATCCTGTGCTGGCCTCTGACAGTCATCTCAGCTGTCTAGGTAGTAGGTGGCTGTTCTTTGGTTGTCATGAACCCATTAGTAGAAAGATGATTAGTTATGCCATCAACATTTCTTAAATGTTAGCATGCATCTGGATCTCCAGGGCAGTGTGTTAAAATCTGGGTAATGCCATCCCCAAGTTGTTGTTTCAGTAGCTTGAGGGTGGCACCTGAGCACATGCATTTACTATAAACTCCAAGTGATGGTGGTGCTGCCTATCCGTGTACCACAGTTTGAGAAACACTGTACAGTACAATCTAGGTCAGTGATTCTTGTGTGGGAGGTGGGAACAATGATGAATCTGAATCACCTGGAGAGAGTTTTAAATATGTACATGTCAGCTTAGCTCTCCTAATTATTTTGAGGTTTGGTATATTTCCTCAAATTGGACGAGGGCCTGAGAAAGAGACTGGGGTTCTGGACAAAAGCAACTGACTTGTTCTAATCCTCTGTAGCTATCATTCTCTCTCATCTCTGTCGTCATACCTGGAGCTTGGTTCAGCAGATGGGGGATTGTTGGGAAAGAGAATATCTGTGTTCACTGTGGTCAAGTGGCAAGTGGCCCTGGGGTCAGAGATACTACCGAGCATCCAGCTAGGTCCATGGTTTGCAGGACCCTGGCCAGGGTGAGGGGAGGGTAAAATTTAAGGGGTTGCCAACAACCTCACTAATTAATACCATTAATATTTTAATGTAATATTTTAAAAATTAAAGTTTATACAAAAAGTCTATGATGAATAAAATATCAACGTTTTAAATAGAGACAGAATCATTATTATTATTATGAACTGTCCCTTTCACCTCAGGTTCCAAGTATGGATTCTTTACTTCAATTTTGATCTTTTGTTTACTCTGGATTATTTTGCATTCATTTTGAATTTTAAAAAATATTGCATTAAATCTATATCCTGATTATTGTTTTTTTGGAGCCCCCTGAAACTTTGTACCCTCCCTTGCTTCTGTCTATTCATCCCTGGTTGAATTTCAGAATCATCTGGAGAGTTTTGAAAAGTATAGATACTCAGGTCCCTTTCCCATATATTCTTATTTAATTAGGCAGGAAGTGAAGCCTAAATTTGGTATGTGTGGTGATGATTAAGAACCACTGAGATACACCAAAAAACCGCTGGTCTCTGGAGAGGTGGGGGTAGGGGTCCATGGGAGTCCAAGCTGTGGGAGCGCCAGGGAGGTGAAGTCAACTAGATGCTGATAACCCGCCAAACTGTGGAAAGGTTGACGACATCAGAAAATGCTGGCAACACAACACTGGCATAGACTCTGGTTCCTGAGAGAAACTGTATAACCGTGCAGGTTTCTTGGTTTAGAAGAACAGAGTGAGCTGCAGGCTATCGAGATGACAGACATAGAAAGACCTGGTCACTGGGATTGGGGTAGAAGATCTGGGCTCAGGAAGTAAGCAAAAAAGGTCAACTCAGGATTTGATGCTGAGTCATCCAGATGCTGAGCTAAGTATCCTTCAAAATTTCCTCTATTCAGGAATAAACTTTATCATAGAGCCTGGAGTAGAAGAAGGCATTTGACAAACTTGATAGAGAAAATGTCAAAATTTATTTTGGCTGAAATTTATATATTAGCTAGAGAAGACTGTTAACTTTTGATCAACAAAGAAAAATACTTTATGAAATGGGATTATGAGTTGTGTTTGTGCTTACTGAAAAAGGCACAGAATCTGAAAGGTAAAAGTAAGTTACACAGTAATAATGTGTATTTTTTTTTTTTTTTGCTGAACCTTGTTGGCCCAGCGGTGAAGAATTCTCCTGCAATACAGGGGATGTAGGTTTGATCCCTGGGTCGGGGAGATTCTCTGGAGAAGGAAACAGCAACCCACTCCAGTATTCTTGCCTGGGAAATCCCATGGACAGAGGAGCCTGGTGGGCTACAGTCCATGGGGTCGCAAAAGAATTGGATACGACTGAGTGAGTAAACCACCATCACAACAATGTGTATTTTAGGCACAGGTGCACTGCCTTTCTATTTCTCAACCATATATCCTCTTATTTTTCTATTCCCTAGTGTCCACATTTGTGGAGAAAATAAGACCTTAGATTTAAAAATGAAGTACAGTAGAAGTCAACCTAAAAATATTCTTTTTAAAAAAGTAGAAACACATACATACACCGAGCTTCTTACCTTCTGCAGTCTACCATTTGTTACCTGGTTGAGTGAAACGTGTTCAGGAAGAGTTAACATCGGTTACTAAAATTTCCCAAAGCATCATGGCCTACACAAAAGATTGAAGAGTAAGAATTTTAATCAAAACTCCTAGGCTTGTAAATCAACTACACTTCAATAGAAATAAATTTAAAAGTTCATATAATATAAAAAAGTTGTTGCAATTAAGTTTTCATAAAATTCCATTTTGTAAGCTGAATATGGCTTACTCTGGCTGCTAGGAATTTCAAGTCCAAGTCTGTATCCTTACATAAATAGTTGTGTAAGACTTTACCAATAAAATGCTTTTTTTTGCTAACTAAGTCTGTCAACTTTGTATTTGACTTTCAGTTCCTCTTCTGCTCTTATTTATTATGTCAGACAAACAGATACAGATATATAACACTGCTTCCCAGCTATGTATATACCATTTAAAAAATGAATTTCATTGAGATACAGTTTACATAAAATAATTCACTTCAGCTGTAGAGTTTTATGAATTATAACAAATATATAAAACTTTGTAGCAACCATGATAATTGAGATACAGAAAACATCATCACCACAAAATGTTTCCTATGTTCCTTCCCATTCTATTCTGTATCCTCTGAATAATTCTGAGTTCAGGTAAATGTTGCTCAGCTTTCTAGTTCTAGACAATATTTAACTTTCGAAGAGCTTTATATAAGTGGAATTATACAGTATGTACTCTTATATACACATAAATCAGCATAATGTTTTTTATATTTACCCATTTTGTTGCATGAATCAGTAGTTTGTTCTCTTTTATTGCTACAGTATTCCACTGTATGGCTATATGAATACATCATATTTTATCCAATCACCTGTGGATATTTCAGTTGTTTCCAAGTTTTGATAATTATGAGCAAAACTTCTATAAATAGTATGCAAATACAAGGTCTGTGAAAACATTTTGTCATTTTTCTTGGATAAGAATTACCAAATTCCAAGAGTGAAACTGTTGGGACATAAATGTAATAGATGTTTACATTTCTAAGAAATCACCAAAATATCTTCCAAAATGATTGCAGCATTTGCATGTTTTATTTTCACACAAACCTACATAATGGCTACCTGTAAAAAATTCAAAGCTTCAGGAAAGTAACTGTATACATTTAGGGTGAACTCTGCTTTATGCATTTGTTTATTTCCTCAGAATTGCAGCAGAGAAAATATACAGACTATGCAGAAAAGGCAGTTCATGTACAATACAAATTTGGCATATAAATGAGTGAATTAATTTCCCCAAATGATCGACTTAAAATATAATTCATAGAACAGATATGATGAATATATGACCTAATATATACCGAGCACTCAATCCAGTACTTGGCACATACTAGAAGTTTAGTATATTTATTATTCTATAAACACAATGTGCTCATGGAAAATAAAACTGGTATCATTAAATTTGCTAGAACACCACACACCACCTTTAAAATTTCTAAGTTGTAAAATATGTCTTACTGTATCCAATGGGATTTTTTAGTGGCTAAAATATATTTCCATGCAGGCTCCTAGTACCATATCACTTTTATTCTTCTAAAACTGAGTAAATGTGAAATACAATAGTAAATGCTTTCATGCCTCTGTACTTTTATTAATGAATTAACAAAATGCAAGCATTTGCTCAATCACCATAATTATGTCTATAACAAATGAGAGAATTTATAGAATCAAAATTCTTACCGATGCTTTTGAAATTATAATGACTGTGATAAAGAACCTTGAAAAAAAATGATTTAGTTTTCAGGAATTGGCTTTACATAGTATGTCAAGATGCAAAGGAGGGCACGGGATACTGAAACTGTATATATAATAATTTTTTCTAAAGAAAGGAAGACAGTAAGTAGTTAAGAATAAAATCTAGTCACTTAATTACTAGGTTGCAGTGGCAGCTAGCCATTTGTTGTTACTGATGTCATCATCTGAGAGCAGTGGTGTGCAGAAGGGGCCACATCTCCCTGTGGAGATGTTTCCTGACACTTCCACAGGTGGCCCCAACCTCGGGAGAAGTGCTGGGGCTTGTTGGAAGTGATGGAGATAGGAAATAGGGGTTTATTTGAAGGTGATAAGTGAGACCTGCCAAAAATCAAAAGTATAGCATTTTAGAGAATCAAAGGCCACCTCAATACTGGAACTGATTTTTTTTTTTTTTAAAGAGAGGCATTAAAGTGGAACAAATTTTCAGTTTGTGATGTCATCATAGCAATTTCCTCTAAGGTGAGACATTTCTGAAGTATTTTATTATAATTTTTCTTAAACTTTCCAGTCTTCTGGGAAATCCTTTTCAAAGAAGAATGGCAAGAAAGAAGTGTGGTGAATGAATTAAAAGGCAACATTACAGAGCGATTTCTCCCCTTCGCTGAAGAGGTGCATTTGTCCACCCACCTGCTCATCCGTTCACACTTGTTAAATGTTCCCTCACTGAGTGCCAGTTATTTGACAGGCTCTCTGCTGGACACTATGGACAGAAGTGTGAACATGAAAAGTACGAAGGAGCTCCCAGCCGGTAGGGGTGACTCATGCAAAATGCCAATTATAATGCAGTGTGTTTGTTGTTGCCGTTCAGTCACCAAGTCGTGTCTGACTCTTTGCGACCCCGTGGACTGTAGCATGCCAGGCTTCCCTGACCTTCACTATCTCCCGGGGTTTGCTCAAACTCATGTCCACTGAGTTGACGATGCTATCTAACCATCTCATCCTCTGCTGCCCCCATCTCTTTTTTCAATCTTTTCCAGCATCACTGTGTCAGCTGCTATAATTGAGCTATGCACGCATTTTAAAAGGTGGACAGTGTTAGGTGTGACTAATTCTATGTGAAATGGTATGGAGTAAACTCATAAGACCAAGGAGAAATTCAACAGGATTCAGATCCAGGAGGAAAAAAAAAGCTATAAACTGTTGGATAAATAGCCCCTGACCAACAAGTTGGGATACAGGGAAGGTACCAAGAATGAAAAGTTGTCAGTGGATAGCAGTAGGTGCCACGTTTCTCTCTGAGGTTGTCCCAGGGTGAACACTACGCTATTACACACCCATGCTGTGCTTGACTCTAGAAGGTATGAGGTACATGGTGATAATGTAAAATTCACATCTTACTATGAGTCTGGGCCAAAGAGTTTGAAAGCCACTCTGATGAAGAGAAGGTATGCAATTCCAGCATCCTAGCATCCCTGGGCAAAGGCACTAGCTTTGTAGACCTTCCAGCCTCTTGGCAATCACAGCCAGTGTTAATGTTCAGGTTACTTCTGAGTTTTAGCCAAATGAGTTAGTCAATTTAAGAATGAAAGAGGAAGGTAAGTGTATGCAAAAGAGTAAGGTGTCAGTCTTCAAGGGCAAGCTTTTAGGGAGAGAAAATGAGATGAGATGTGCAGATTATAAAAAATTCAGTTAGTATCATATGCATAAAACACAGAAACTAAATCTTTACTGTGCACCTTCTTATTCTAAGCATTGTGGGGAGCAAAGATAAAGAAAACAGGGTCCCATGTTCTCAAGTTTATAGTCCAATGGGTGAGACAAGCAAATACAAATTATGAGTTACAATATGACCTCATAAGTTCAACAACAGAAATGTGAAGAAACACAGAGAGCTTCTCAGTTGTACATAAGAGTGACCATCAGCTTGGCCTGGAAAATGAAGAAAATTCATGGAGGAGTCAATCCTGGACCTGAAACTTGAGAGCAGGAAGAGAGAGGATTTCAGCTGAGGCAAGAATGGATCTAATAAAGTGAAGGGGTGGGAGGGTGGAGCATGTATACAGAACTATGGGTTGTTTCACCTTACTTGCTACCAACGTTTCCTAGTAATAAGAATGCCTTTGGGAATCAGCATTCTATTTCTTTTTTTCCTACAACATCCTAACAATTGAAGACATGCTGAACCTTGCCAAAATAGCTGTATTCTCCTAGGCTGTATTGTGTATGTGTAATTGAAAATTCTGGCTGAATCGGCTTACCTAAGGGCTAATGTACCTCAAAAATCGAACCTTGGGTTGACTGATCTTTTGCCTTCTGTGGGAGATGCTACAGGCAGCGACTTTCCTTGGTTTTGTCTCAGTTAGATTAGGGCAAGTGTTTGCCTCCTCTCCAGGACAGAACAAGCCCTGGGGTTATCTTCTCCTCATCCTAGACGGACGGCTTTAACAGCTTGTTTCAACAAGCAACATTAGCTTCTGGCAAACCAGGTTCAGCTTAATATGTAGTGATCCAGTGTCATTTTAAAAAATAATTAGTTTCATGCTCAGAGGAGCAGAGAGGCAAGGTGTGTGTGTAATGGAAAGGAAAGCCTGGAGTGTCCCATAAATCAGCTGGATGATCCTGGACAATTCATTTCAATTCTCTGAGGCTCGGTTTCCTCATCTGCAAAATGAAGGTGTGGGAATAATTGACATGTTCTGATTTTAAATGTTTGATTTTGAGGGTACTTTAGACTCTTCTTGAGAATCAAAAGAAATGATGTTTAAGTTTCAGGTAGCCCAGAGTCTTATTACAGTGTCTCTCCTATCCTCACATCCAGAGGGAACCAATATGGAAAAAGTGGCTTTTCTCTCTGCAGTTGGACAAAGCTGTTCTCTGGACCAAGGCTGGGAAGTGAGACCCTCTGCTTGTGCCCCTGATATTTTATCCCATCAGTAAAACTGCATTTACTGGCAGCCTACAAGGCTACTCTATCTAGCTTACCTCAGTGTGGAAAATGTCTAGGTTCTTGTGCATCACACACAAGGCCATTTGCTTGCGGAGACTGCAGAGGCTAAGAGCTGCATAAGGGAACAGAAAGGAAAAACCCACACGATGTCAAAGATTCAAGCCCTTGGGGATCTGTAAACCCACTACACACATGCAGATGAATCCCCTTGAAAGTACAGTGTAATATCCCCTCTTTGGAGATAATCGATAATCATTATATTTACTTTCTTTGCTTTCTCTTCTTGTGGCATGCATATTAATACAAGAGAAAACCAGAGGTCTGCTGATCTAATAATGTATATTTTAGGGATCTTTTGTTGAAAGTTCACCTCTTTTATAGTTTACCTCCTTGACTGTGGTTAAGGAAATGCCAAATCCTGCTCCTGTCCTGTTGCTATAGCGATTATGAGAGATAAAAGCCAGGCATTAAGCATTCAGGTGCAATTTTTATCAAACTAATGTTTAAATTAAACATGGATTTTAATTTATTTATTAAAATATTTGAAATCCGGTGAACACAGAGGCTGAAACACTGTTTTCCCAATTACCTCTGCCTTTTCCTCTGTGATTGCTAGTTCGTGCACACGGGTGCTTACAGAGAGTGACTCACTTGCATTTTCTTATTCTCAGGCGAGAACCACTGAGCCACAGTGAAGGCAGTTGAGTGACTGGATCAGCAGAAGGGACTATCTTTTTTTCTTTTTCATTTTTCACTAGTGATGGGGGCCATATAATTAATTTTAAATATTTTAAAATGCTTCTTTCCCTTCCCACTTGACTTAATCTCTCAGTTGTGCCTGACTCTTTGTGACTCCATGGACTGCAGCTCACGAGGCTCCTCTGTCCACAGGATTTCCCTGGCAAGAATACTGGAGCGGTTTGCCATTTCCTTCTCCAGGGGATCTTCCCAACCCAGGGATCGAACCCCAGTCTCCTGTACTGTAGGCAAATTCCTTACCAGCTGAGCTATAAAGGGAGCCCACTTAAACACTGGTTCAAACAGTTTTAAAGTCACAATAACTATACTTTGGAAACTTGGTTTTGTTTCTAGTTCCATGCCCCTATCAAGCTTTGCTGATTGTGCCATGCTAATGTTTCTAGCCATATATTTCAAGACAGAATAAGTGAACATATTGGTGGTAGGTCAGAAATGTGGTCCTGGGTCAACTTCACACACAGGAGCAAAGACTGGAGAATGAAATAGATGGCAGTAGGTGGCTTGGAAGGCTTGCTTGGACAGCAGGTTGTCACTTAGGTATGGCAAATTTGGAAATTCCTCCCCAGTCCCTTGCTCCGTATCACATAGATGTTTTTGGCTTTGTAGGCCATACAAGCTCTTTTGTAACTGCTCACTTGTGCTGTCATAGCATGAAAGCAATCATAGGCAATATATAAGTGAGTATGCATGGCTGTGTTCCAACCAAACTTTTGTTTATGAACAATCAAACCTGAATTTCATGTGTCACAAAACATTATACTCCTTTTGATTTTTTTCCCAAACATTTAAAAATGTAAAAACTATACTTAGCTTATGGCCACCAAAATAAGAGGCTGTGGGCTGATCTAGCCAGCAGGCTACTGTTCGCCATCCCCTAGCATGGAATGTTAAGAAGGTGGAATCTGGGGTGAGATTATCTTTGAATTCTAGACTCTTCCATTTTACCTGTTTTACCTTAAGTTTTTAATTCCTCCCTGTCTTGGTTTCTTCATGTGTACACTGAAGTTGGTAATAGTACCTACTCGTGAAGTTCTTGAGGTTTAAATAAGGGGATAGATAGAGAATGATCAGAATGGTTCTTAACACACTAGGAGCTCACTGATAGGAGTAATTAGCATCCACATAGAACCCCGGGGAACTGGGGGAGATGCTCTAACCTGATGGGACAGGAACACAGTCAGTTGTAAGATATGATATTCATGGAAAGAGCCAGCATGACTTCCAGTGAGAGTACAATCGTCCCTCCTCTCTTCTGCAGTCACCAAAGCGAGAAGGCTGCCTTTCACTCACCTGCCTGGCCACCATCTATGGCCCATTTATGATAAACGATTCCCTGTGGAAACAGCTGTTGGTGTTTTGCATCCTGGCACCTTCTGTCACGTAAAATTTAATCATTTTTATTTGCCTTCCACAGCACTTTCTAAGTGTTGACACGGTCGTTTCAGGACTGGTCTCATCATTTCAATGGCCATTTTTTATACCTCATAAATCTAGAGAGGCAGGTTTTGCTGAACATTCCACAGCTGTTGGGTGGCAGAGAGTGCCCTCCCAGAGCTGTCCATGACAATACAGAGTCGTTTTTACGATGTTTGCCGTGTCTCTCCTCCTTTAACTATTTCCATTTATTTCTGGTTCCTGATCCTTTAGGCGAGCTTAGAGCTGAGGAATTTTTGTTTTGAGAGGGAGGAATTTTTTTTTTTTTTAATATCTAGAAGTTATCCTTCTGATGATTTTTCTTTTTTTGATGATGGTTTTCAAATTGTGAACGTCAGTTTTCCCTAGAGACCAAACCATATTGTTAATTTTTCAGTCACTGAATCGTGTCTGACTCTTCGCAGCTTCGTGGACTGCAGTACACCAGGCCTTCACTATCTCCTGGAGGTTTGCCCAAGTTCATGTCTATTGAATTGGTGATGCTATCCAACCATCTCATCCTCTGCCATCCTCTTCTCCTTTTGCCTTCAGTCTTTCTGAATTAACTTTATTTTAAAGACACAAGCAATAGAAGAAATGATGTACCTTAATATTCTAACTTAGGAAAATCCAGGTGTCAATTTGGAGAATTTCATAATGGAGACCACTGACAACACATTTTATTGTTTCTTAAAAATGGTGTCAGACGTTTTCTACAGTTAATGTTTTCATGTGTGTGATTCATATGAAAATTTTCTTAGGGGGAGTCTACTGAGTTCTGTTGTAATTTGTTCTGTTTCAGAAAAAATTATTCATTCAAATAATAAAAACTTGGGTTCTGGAGTCAGTTCTAATCCTGGCCCCATAATTTACTACTTTGTGACTCTAAATGAGTTATTTATGCTCCCTTTGCTCAACTTTCTTCTCTGTAAAAAATGTCATTAAAAATGGCAGTAGTCATGCCTATCTCACAGAATTGTAAGGAATAAAAGTCATAATTCATAAAAAGTTCTTAGAATGTTGCCTAGCACAAAATAAGAATTCAAGAAGTGTTAGCTCTTTTTACTCTTTAATTAGTCATTAGGGAGTTCATTTGTCCCTGTTACGCTCAGACCTTGGCCCTGTTGACCTGAAAGAAATAGAGTGCCACATATTTTTCCAGCAAAGATGAGCTTATTCAAGATCAGCAGAGAATTGCAATTCAGGGTCTGAAAGCGTGGCAAGACACAAGCCAAGTACCCACAGGGCAAGGGAAAGAACATGTTTTTATAGAGGGGAAAAAGAGGTTGGGAGGGCTATAGTAAACATAGAATCCATGGGTGTTCATTGACTGAGCTGTTGCCAGGAAAGAAGTCTTGCTTCTTCCTCTCGGGCTCTGCTATCCTCACAGGGTGTGGGAGCTCCCTCTTCTGGTCTCTCAACTCTGTTTTACAGAGGTTTCTGCTTATTAATTTCTTATAGCCCCCTTTACTTATCTATCTGCGTGACCTTGGGCAATTTACTGTACTTCTCTGAGTCTCAGACAGCTCATCTTTAACACAGAGATATAAGTAATTACCTCACGCTGTTGGTGTGAAGAGGAAATGAGTTAATATATCTAAAGCATCTAAATCAAGATCTGACACAAAGGAACTGTTTAACAGTGTTGAAATCAAGTGAAAAGTCGCTCAGTTGTGTCCGACTCTTTCCATGGAATTCTCCAGGCCAGAATACTGGAGTGGGTAGCCATTCCCTTCTCCAGGGGACGTTCCAAACCCAGGGATCAAACCCAGGTCTCCTGCATTGCAGGCGGATTCTTTACCAGCTGAGCCACAAGGGAAGCCCAAGAATGCTGCAGTGGGTAGCCTATCCCTTCTCCAGTGGATCTTCCCAACCCAAGAATTGAACTGGGGTCTCCTGCATTGCAAATAGATTCTTTACCAACTGAGCTATAGAAATTTAGCAGTACTAGGTATTATCATATTTGTAATTTTATGCTTCTATTCATGTTCTGAAAGTCAAAATATAATATTATGCCAGACACAAAAGTGCTCTTCACATCTTGTGCAACTTGCAAGACTCCTAGAGATTTTCCCTTGAACTCCCTACAGTGAGTTCATACTGAGCATCTCAAAAATTTTTTTAAGGAAATTTTCTCAATGCATCAGATTAACACTTTGAAACAGGAGAAAGAAAGCAAATAATAGGAAAAAAGGAAAAGTGACAGTTGAAATCCATTGCAAAAATACACCCAAAAATAGTTTTTCATCTCGGATTTGAAAGAATTCTGTTTTGTGCAATAAAGGTTTCCCTTCAGTCTGATTCAGTCTCATAATATGAATGACTTTCGTGTACTGCTTGTGCAATGCTCATAATCAGAAAGAAGTGTTATACATGAGGCAGATGCAGGAATGTCCTGCCTGAAAGCAAACGTATCCTTCTGAAGAAGAATGAAGGGAACAGCCGTGGCCAAGGCCAGCCACACCAGCACATCCTACCTGTGATCATATGTTGCCAAGTGCCTAAACAGGCAACCAAGAGCCCACTTGAACTCTTCAAATCCTGGGCTACTTGAAAATAAATAAAAATATTTTTGGTCAATCCTATGTTTTTCCATAGCTATTCACAAGTCTGAATTCACATACTCGTGCAAAACCCCAAATGCAAGTGAACATTTCGAGAGCACATGGTAGTTTCCTGGCCGGCATGCTTGATCGGTCTGCTGTCCTGGGCTCTCGTGAGTCCTGGAGCCCAGGGACCCATCTACACTAGGGCTTTGTGGCTAGAGCAGATGGCAGTCTTGTATCTAAATGGCGGCTTGGGGATAACCACTCTGTTCTTAATGGAGAATAAAAAGAGATTTAACAAATTCAGTAAAGGCTGTAATTAAATAATTTGAAGATCTTTAAAACTATCCAACGACTGATTCTACTTTTTCAATTTGTTCCCTCAAACTAAATTTAACCTGTCAAGCCGACTCAACTTTATGTATATTGGATTATTGAAGGGAAGAAATAAAATCATTCCAAAGCATGAAGCTTAGACTGCATAGTCGTGAAGGCAAGCTAATGAGAAACTAGAGATTGCTTTAATTTCTCAGTAATCACGGTTGCTACAGTCTGTGGGGTCACAAAGAGTCAGACACAATTTAGCAACTAAACAACAACAATAGCAACAAACTTTTGATTTGTCTTTAAAACAGGAATGCTAATTTAGAAATGCCTTGTTCTGCTCTTTCTTTACATTATTGAGACTCTGTTATTTTCAAAAGATGTAAGACATTAATTACAAAGGTGATACATTTTTATTTTTATAAAAACAGGAAGTACTTGGTTGTTCAGATTTAACTGAATTGCTTAAGACTATTTTGTGAGGTAAAAACAGAAGTTTAATGTTTGTGCTTATTTGTTTATCATTACCATAGTCCTCGTCTGGTTGCTCCCACAGATCTTACTCCCGCAGTTAAAATTACTTAAACTCCAACTGAAGCTTCAGTCCTGACTTAGGCCCTGTAATGTAGAGCTATATTTAGTTCCTCCTTTTGCTGGTGAGAAAACTAAGACAATGGGATGGTAAGAAACTCACCTAGGATTGTCTAGCATATGT